TGTATTGGACCTCTGGCTGCGGTGTAGTACCAGGTGCTCCAGTGGCATCTGGATGGGAGGAGTCGCTGGATTCCCACAGATGGCATGATGATGCAGGGTAGGGCCAAGGCAAGAGCTATTCGTCCATATATTGTTGAGATGGGAGGGGGATTAAATGCCAAATATTCAGACTCACTCCCATCATTAAAATTGCTCTCAGTTGTATCCTCTGAGCTCTTGTCTATGTTTCTTTGACTTGTTCAATTCAGGACTCATGTGGTGTGACTATTAAAGCTTTTTAAAACCCAACAATCAACAAACAGTTTTTGGGATTTGGGGTAATTTTTTATTTGCTATAAAACTGTTGACGTGCAAGGTTTTGTGTTCTTTGCAGGTTTACGATGTAACAGTCTGTGGTGAACAAGGATACTACAATGAGAGAGTCTAACGGGGATTTAATTAAGTTCAGCTTCTAGCTGAGGTATATGATTCTGTAGTTGAATCACATATGAAACATCTGTTCACTAGAACATTGTCTTAACTATAAGGGTGTAGATGGCAGAAGTATGTGATTTGAATCCTGCCAAAGGGATTCTTTCTTTTCTGTGGAGGAATGGCATGAATTATGCTAGTCAAGTGTAAACAGTCAAGAGGGGGTGTCTTCATGGGACCATCTTATGAAAAGTGTGGGTGGAGAGCAACCATGAGGAAAAACTCTACCCAACCCCCAGTATTGACAGGAAAGGAGATATGGCAAGAAGATCAGCAGATCTGCTGCACTTCTGTTTGCCCGCACATGGAGCTTTCACACTGAAAAAGCACCAACTCTAGTGCTTTTAGGAAGCTTCACCATTTATAGTCATTGTAGCTTTTTGTCTAGGAGAAACTAGGGAAAATGTGACATTATTAAATTACATATATTACATATATGACTGTCTGGTTTATCCTGAGCTTTACTGTTATATCAATAAGTCAGCTATTGCACCGGCTGACAATAGAGGGAAAACAGGAGCAATGTCGTGGTGTCTTGTAGCAGCTTGAGTGTCCTGCACTTTCATTCCCACTTCCTGAATAGATAACATGTCAGACTGTGCCTGAAGAGGGTTAAGTCAGTCGGCCTTCATTAAAAGAGAACCCTGCCCTTTGACCTTTTTCAGGTTCTTCGAGAAGTGCTGTCAGGAGGTTTGGAATGGCTGCTGGGGATTTGGATTCACCGGAGCAGCAGATGAAAAGGAGGAGATTCTTTTCAGGCATGATTCAGCAGAGATCATTGTAAGACTGGACATGTTTTTACTTATATCATTTTAATTCACCTGATTGACCCTAAATAAAGGAAGGAGCAGAGGGGAGGGGAAATTTATCTCAGAGAAGGTCAAATGGTAAAGAAGTGCATAATTATGTTGCATCTTTTGAGTGTTTAGAGGAGGAGGCCACTACATTGAGGATGTCAGTGAGATTTGTAGCTGTTTAAGGAAACTATTGTATTGTCATTGTTTCTACTGCCTGAAAACATACTGCAGGTCAACAATATTAGAAAATGCTAGTAATTTAAATTGCCAAATGAATTAATGTTTTAAAGGATTTGATGTCTAGGTCAGTTGTAATTGTGTGACTTTCTCATAGCTATGTGATCACAGATCTCCCTGTAATCACGAGTTTAAAAAGGTGAAAAGGTTTCAGTGGTGTGTGACTCGCCTTTGAGAGCAGAACTGTGGAGCTGATCCTGTTATCCATGGTCAACTGGCAAATGCTGAATGGAAACATTGATTGATCATTCCTGCATTCTTTTTTGTTTTTTTCAAAAATCATCCTTTACATATGGACTGAGCAATTTACAGCACAATGATGACAACACAATAACCCAAATGAAAGGTTAATTTACATTAAACACATGACACCACCACTGACTGGCTTTCTAAGCAGAAACAAATGGGTCGGCAGAACCGTCCAGCATAACTCGGAGTGAAAGGAAAGAAAACGATCTGTCATCATGTAAGAGACAGAGTAAATCTAACAAGGGCACAATCAGCATCTTCCAGACACCAGCATTGTGTGAGTCTGAAAACACTCCCGACTTCCTGGACTGCTCCATTGATACCGTCTGTGGGGTGGATTTTAGATAGGCTCCCTGATCCTCTGGTCCTGCAAGGCTCATTTAAAGAGGCCCAGAACACCCCCCAATTCAGGTTCACCTGCACAGTCTACATCCCCTAGGCAGTTATCGACAGAACCATGGACACCTGGACAGATGTGCGCTGTCTTTGAATGGAGAGCACCAACTGCAGCTGCCGCGGTGCCGTATTCAGATGGTTATTTTCTGTTCGCTCTCCTTGCGCGCGTGGCAGATGGCTGACTGGGTGTGCTGCGTGGAAGATGGAAACAGCACAGCCAGCTGATTAAAAGCAAACAAACAGGGATGGTAAGCGAGAGAGAGAGAGAGAGAGAGAGAGAGAGAAGGAGGCAGACAAGATGAATAAAGGAGGGACAGCAGCCCAGTGAAGGGGATGAAGGCACAGAGAGCCATGAGCTGAGGGTGTAGTGCAGTGTTTCCCAGTCTGGTCCACAGGGACCCACAGACAGTTCACATTTTTGCTGGAAGCTGGGAGGGAGCAAAAACATGGGCCGTCTCTGGGTCCCTGAGGGCCGGGTTGGGAAACGCTGGTGTAGTGGATTGTGGGTGGGTTATGGTCAGAGGTGGAGATTTCAGGTCCACAGAGCACAAATCCAGACTAACATTTTGTTTCAACCAATCAGTTGAGTACTCTGTGACTCTTTATACTCAACTGGTTAGTTGAAATAAAATATTGGTCTGGATTTGTACTCTCTAGACCTGAAATCTCCACCTCTGATTATGGTATGAGGTTGTAGTGTGCAGTGGGGGGGGGGGGGGGGGGGGGGGGTCACAGTGTATATCGTTGCAGTGGTTCGCGGGGTGCAAACACAACATGAAGAACAATCAGTTGAATCACAGCCTGTGAGACCCTGAACTCCAGCTTTCCTGGACCTCTCACTCTGCATGATTGGTTCTTCAAAGACCATGTGCTGTAATCAATGTCAGGTTTGTTTATTATCATCAGGATGGATTTTTCATCGGGATGGAAGAAATAAGTGTATCTCCATACTGAGCTTTGAAGGTAGAGAGTCCAAATGACCCAGTATGCTAAGTAATGCTATAGTGCACACTGTCATAGGTGATACCCCAATACCTTGTAGATGTTCCCCACAATGCAACATAAGCCCAGCCTAGTGCCCTTATATTGCCTTCACCTCTGTCAGATCTCAGTAGCCCAGCTGGAGCTGTTTGTGTTACTGTGTCAGGAGGAATCAGATTTGACTACCGGCAGAAGATGCAATCAAACGATAGAAGCACTACAATTACCATAAAACAAACAGATTCCATTATGTGATTTTAGTCTCGTTTCAGATTTGACATCATAATTTCATTGGAATTCATTGCAGTGGAAAGGGACACTTTGGAAACCAGGAATTGGCGTACACCCGCTTCAGGTTTTTAGTGATTCTAGATTCCAGTTGATTCCTAGTCCTGTGATGCTGACTTCTGCTGAAGGGTAGCTAAGAATATGTGCATTAAAGAATGGAGATGTTACCTCTGTCAGTCACTGACACACTGCACAGCACCTGATAGTATGGCATGCCCAGTGCCACCCTCTGGTGTGACGGGCAGCAAAGCCGTGCTGCAGTCCAGTCTCCAGTGTCTACATTAGGAATGACCAGTCACTCGTCCTGCCTTTAAATATGCTCACCACCCAGAAGAAGGAACTCACGGTCAAATAAAAACTTAGCAATTGATTTGTCATTTCAATCTCCTTCATTAATGAAATGCTTCTGACACATGCACATATTTATAACCATTTGTTTTACTATAGTAATTCAGATAGGGCACTTTTGTCAATGTTAACTGCATAATGTTACTCCAGGATGCTTTGACTTCAGACCTGTGCTAGTTAAGGTTCTGTGAATTGCCGCCCATCATCCGTTCCTGGGGAGTTCTACACCTGAAGGCTGTAGAAAGCAGGCATAGATTCCATCTTTAAAGGTAAGCTTTAACGCGCAAGACAACAGCTGTCAGAAACAACGTTTTTCTATCAGTTTAAGGCAGCCCCGCTAAAAAATGTTTTTTTTTTTGTTCCCTGAAAAGGTTATTAATTCTGTACACACACATATAACTGGTGTACCGTGCTGTCTTCGCAGAATTACGCAATTGTTAATGTGAAAGATTTAATCTAATAAAATTCCTGAGCGGAAACGCAGAATTATTAATACTGCAGGTAGTCTGTCAAAAAACTTTAAATGTGTAAAAGGCATATGCAGGTTGACCCGGTATGAAGCCGTGTCCTTGGTATCCTGAGTGGGCTGCGGCTGATCGCCAAAGCAGCTCGGAAAACTTTATCTACATCGATATTTTAACCAAATAATTGTTAAAATTTTGTTCAAAACTTTAGTTAATCCAAAATGGTGTACATTGACGTAGACTATGTAAATATGTATTTTGCTCCATATTAAATCAGGGGGGAACATTTACACCTATATTTTGGTGATTTCTTGGATGCTGTATATTATTATTATTATGTTAAATTGTTTATTTTAAATCCTTCTTCAGAAGGTAGATAAAGTGAATAAGGTTCGTTTGGGCTTGTGGATTACCCGCGGGGGAATGTACTATATTTCAAAGTTCTGGAACTCCCTATAAAACTCATACTAATGCCGAAAATACGACTGAATCATTTTTCCGACTTGGAAGCTCATACATAAACGTCAATGACCTAATACTGATAAACTGCATAATCTGATTCATGTACAGTACGTTTCTTTAAGGTAGGGTAAAGACCGCCGTCCCCGCACTTTATATCCAAGATCAGTGCCGAACGCTTCTGAACGCCTAAATATTCCCGGGTGGGCGGGCCGGGGGCGGTGACAGTAAAGGTAACTCTCCGCCTCTGGGCGTGTCAAATGCAAATAAGGACATTGCATCCACCTGCCAGCTCATTTCTCCTGCAGTCAGAATCGCTTTTGTGCGCAGAGCTGTGCAGACCACCCTAAATATCCACATTGCTCCAAAAACCGAGGAATACTAATATGTCATCCGCTTGAAGGACTTGTCAGCACACCGGATTGTTTTGTCATCTGGCTTTTTAGCAAATAATTAAGCTGTGTTTGCTTATCTAGAAGTAACGAAAACGACCCACTAACGAGTTAGACCAGAAAGACCACGAACTCAGGTGCTTTGCAAGACAAGTACGCAGTTCAGCTCAGGAATTTTAAAGGATTTACATAAACTGCTGGAAAGAGACCGTAAAGAAGACTTCAGTGGATTCCGTTTGCTGCTTCCTAAATGACTTTTGTGACAGGAATCAAAGTTCTCATTGGTGGCCAGTAACAAGCAGGTAAGCACTGGTGATTTAAAGAGACACTAGTGACTGCATAACCGCGTTTTAACCGTAAGCTGCCAGTGCATTGAAACAAACAGTTTGATAACGGAAACCTCCATCTCTGCCTAGTGTGGTACACAGTTAGTTTTGACTGTTATATTGCAGTCGTAACTCGTAATGCGATTTAATTAAATATCATAATGTAATGCATTTTCTAGAAGAACGGCGTCATGTTTCTCATAATGCGTTTACTACTGTATTTTAACGCGTATACATATCTGTTGCGTTTAACTTTTAATTATAGCCCAAGCACAAGGCTTTATGACAGCATGGTTTCAGACAATGTCTGTGTGAGGCTGCGCATGTAAAGACGGAGGATCATATTCTGAACGTATGGGCTTCTTGTTCTGTGCGTCATTCATTTAAAATGTTTCAGCTATCCTGCATCATTCTTACTGTGCAAGCTAAATCAAACCAGATTGCTCGTCTTCTTGGCCTTCGAACTCAGTGTGCCATTCGCTGCACAAAAAGCCGAACAAGATGACAAAAGGCTTTAATATGATAGAAAGTCATTTAAGCCACAAAACTGCTCAGCAAAAATTATGCCTAACCGTTCATCAAGTTTTACTCTCAGAACAATTCGTAGTAGATGTTCTCTAACATAATTAAAATCAAATCTCGGTGTTAGAAATAATATATTTTTATTTTTGTTTCATTAAATGTACCATCTTTGCAATTTTACATGACCAAACTCTTTTAAATGGAACTACAAATTATTAAAATATTAGTTTAAAATATGCGTGTCAGCATTTCAGATCTGCTGACAGGGACAGGGGTCAAAGCGCAACTTTAGTGGGTTTCTATGAGAATTTGTCATTGGTTATTTTCTGTTGTTCTGAAATATTTTTAGGGGGAAAAAATAGTATTTCAAGCTATATATGTTTTAAGCCTACGTGTTTTCGCATTGCGTTAGTGTAATGTATTGGAGAAATGTATACAGAAATTAGTGGTTTAAGTGCCCACTTTGGGACGTAATAAAATGGTGCCAGTTGATTTTACGCAGATAAAGGTCCCAGCGAGGGACTTAGACTAAAAGCAGTTATTAAAAAGTAGGCGTTAAAGTGATCTTCCGCCCATAACCCATTTACAACGGCAGTTATGATGATGCAGATTTACTAGTTACCATAATTACTCTAAAAAGTCTAGTTTGGAAGGCATCCAGCAAATGAAGACAAACTCGTTTATAGCTTAAATTCTGAAAATTCTGTTTATAGCCTAACAGCAAATCCTATGTTGTTTAATCGCAAACTTTAATTGACAAAGCAGATATCCTCAGTAAAAGTAATAACGTTAAAATAGTGTTCTGTTGAAAGACCAATGCAAGCTACTAAAAATAATAGAATGATTACTTGAGGAAATGCACTGCATGTAGGATACTTTTTATTTTCTCAAGTCAATAAAATGACCTGCGCATAATATAAAATATCACAATATACAACATTGCGCATTCATGTTTATTTGAAACGTAGCCTAATTGTTTTGCACGTAGTTAAGTTACTATTCACATAAGTTATCCAACCAGCCTGAAGTACACTGTAAATATGGGAAGGTGTTGTGTGATATTCATGCATAGGCTAATGTGTGCAATGTCCGTTCATGGGAGAAACACTGATTTGTCTTATAAATGAAAGAGTAAAGACGTCTTGTGTGGCTTTGTGAAGACGATGGAGCTCTGACTTTAAACAAATATCTGCACAATTAACTAATTGTGAACAAGCAAGTCTGGTTTAGGTTTGAACAGCTGGTTTCGTTTGCGGGTCTCCATGTGTCTGCCCTAGTTGATGCCACCCGGTGAAGCGTACTGGTGCCCACCTTCGCATTGCATTCTGCTTGAGGATTTTACAGGAAACGGCTGCTTTATTTTAAGTTTGATTTCACTGTTTTGAGACGGAGCTGAGGGAGCAGCGATGCGGGTCCCATTCCTGAATAGGTGGGAAGGAGAAAGTATAAACGGAGGCGACAGTGAGGGTCCTGCGGCGGAGTTCATCAGTGCGACCCTGGCCGTCGCGGGCCGCTCTACGGGCCGAGGTTGATCTCTCGGGAATCGCTTTTTCATTCTTAAACCAAGAATCCTTTGCCTGAACACGGTTAAGCCTATTTCAAGTTTGTCTTTATCTCCAAATTACCCTGTCAAATTTCACTGAAGAAGAATGACTAGGACTTGCAAGCTGTAATAAATGACATGGTAGTCTTTGGTACTGTAAACATGAATTTATCGAAATTTACGGACTGTTATTCTTAGAAATGCTCTGGAGTGAGTAGGGTACGGAGTGAAACAGTTAACGTCATTGACAATTAATAGTTGTTTTGGTAGAAAATGCTGGCTGCCTTATTTTCTGAGTTTAACTCACTGAAAATTTCCATGACCAATTCCCTAAGTGTTAGTAACTTTCACATTACCAATTGCATTTCCATAAGCTTCCCAATAAGAGAAAAAAGAAGTGTGGGAGAATCCAGGTTGGCAAACGGTCTTAGTCACTTTTTGTTTTTGTTAGTCTTATCAAACTAGCAAAACGATTCCACCATCACGCAGATAATTTACTGTACTATAATTTACTCCTATCTTGCAGGATTTATGTTCAGGTAGACATGAAGTTGTTGGTTTTGCCCTTCATGAAAAAGTGGCGATGAAGGTAATGGACAAAGTGGAGAACTTTGCCATGACAGACTGCAGAACCTCACAGTGGGAGGTGTGAGGTGTTCATATTACATGGACAGCATATTGAGCAGAGTGGTTTCTCTCTTACGGGGTTGTTTATAACGCGAGACATGGAGTTGTTTCATGCCTTTACAGCAGACTATGTGTCATTGTACCATTCCTCAAAGCTCACAGCTCTGTGTCTCGGTGTGTTTGACCTGGAATGGCTGGAATTTAGGTATTGGTTGTGATGTGCAGGCTTTGAGCTTTGAGGTCTTGAGGCGGGCATGATGGTTTTGCATACAGGCGAGCAGTGCGACTCTTTGCTGTCTTCATTCTCTCCCTTGCAATCACTGTCCCATATGGCAGGTGACAGTCATAGTGTGACTGTGTTTGTGCACAAAATGCTGCCTTTTTTATTTTTAGTATTTGACTTGCATCAGACGGCTGTGAACAGAAACCGCTGGAAAATAATCCCCTTCATTCTGTGAATGGCGCATTCCCCATATGTGTAAGAGCAAATAGGGAAATGGAATAATCAATGGAGCTGGAATTGCTATATTTAGTTGACATGCACACAGATATTGGACACTGCATTTTATTCTAGATCACACGTTCTGTCACTTGTAGACCACACTATCTATCTCTATGATACTAGAGTATATTAACTCTATAGGGTATACTGTTAATCTCTATTCATCTCTATTTAGCCATCTGTTGTAGAACATGTTACCATCAGATGTATGGCACTATCAGTCTGTAGTAGAGTACATTATCTGTCCTGTAGATCTTGATGTCCATCTCCAGTACAGTTACAGTGAAGGTGGTGAGCTCTACGTTTCTTACATTATTTTCTGCATTTGTATGCACTGCCATGTTAGTTTAATTTGTTAAATAAGTAAATGGTGAATGTGCACATTTGGTTCACAGTTGGTTGTTACATGTTGTCCGTATATCTGCTGTCGTCGGTGTTGTGGCAAGAATGTTGTCTTCCCCTCCCTGCTCCAGTCACTGAGTCCCCTTGTTTCCTTGCAGACATCATTTCAGTGGCAGGAAGCAGATGACCATGCTGGTTGACAGTCTACAGTCGTTCTGGGTCATTCTGCCCCTCCTGGCGGTCTTGGTCATGAGTTCGCAAAGTGAGCCTATCTCCGCCCCTCGGGTTTTTCTGTCCTTCAAAGGTAAGCGATGTCTGAACATCTTGCTTTTTAATGTCGGTGTAGATGTGTCTGTCTTGTGTGGGTGTGTGCCTGAAATGGGGCTCAGGAGGGAATCCGTCTGGCTGTCTTCTGACTTGTTAAATGTGGCTCCTTTCCATCTCCACTGCCTCACTGTTGCTGCTCATCACCAAAGTGATTTCTTTATGATGATGCTTTTCTGCATTTCTGAAAAGTGTTTCTACTTAATGGACAGGAAGTTAAGAGAGGAGATGAAGACTCGTATTTCACTACAGTCTTTTCCTAGTTTGTTTCTCCATAAACATACTGGCAGGGAAATTTTCAGCAGCTGTTTTCACTCCAGAATAAAGTGTGCATTGTACTCAATAGGCTGGACAATAGGTTTACTGCTCAAGAAACTCGATGAAATTTTTAAGTATTATAGTCTGTACAGGAGGGAGGTCTACATGATTGATTTCTTTTCAGAATCATTATCTGTATGGGGAGTAATCCTCACATAAGTCCTGTGGGTTCTTCCACCCCAGTGGCTTTGGGGATGTGAACCTTTGGGGATGTGAACCTTTGGGGATGTGAACCTTTGGGGATGTGAACCTTTGGGGAGTGAACCTTTTGGCTTGGCTGTAAATTGAAATCATTTTGCCTGTGAGTGCTTGACCTCATACTTTAGAAGGACTGCATCAAGTGCCTCCCCCTGTCCAAACTTTGCCGGCTGTGTGTCGCTGGGCCTGACAGTGTACCGAATACGCAGGGATTAAAGAGAGCAAATTGCCTGGATTGGCAGAGCGGAGCGACGTATCCCAGGCCTGTCCCACCCTGGGATCAAACCTGTGATTAGCTGCCCGGGGAAGGGCCGTGAAGCTTCTGTTTGCTCTGCCCGCCATTCCCAGGAGTCAAAGCTGACTTAATTACGTGGACTGCTGCAGTCCAGCCTTATGAGCTTTCCTGCATTTTTCTGGTTAATCAACTCGGATTTAACACTTCGCTGGGCGTAGAGCCAGAGCTTGGCACTTCTTTCATACTTTTCTCCATTATGGTTTCAGGAACTCGCCTATCTTCTTTGTTTTATCTCCAATGTTCTCTGTTGAAAGTCTAACCTGCAAGAGTTTGCTTTTCCTGCTGGACTTTTCATGCCGAGCCTTCAGGGTCTTCCTATGTTTTTGTGCCGGACTGTCAGAATCTCAGCAACTTTTCATAATAAATGTCAGTCCTCACTTGTTTTCACCTCAGGAACGGTGCACATTTTCATACTGAACTATCAGACCCGCTGTAGCTTTTCCAGTTGCCCAGTTTTTCTGCATGTTTAACTTGTAAAAGGACTGGAATCGTCTGTGACGGGACTAATTTGGGCATTGTTTTGAAAGCTGTTCTCATTTTGGATGTTTTACAGTAGATTTTAGTGGCGCTGGCTTGTCGAACGAGGCATTAAAATCTTCAAGTACTGCCCTCATACTCCTCTGCACCACACACACATTTATATTTGATTCAGTTTTAATTATTGTTTTAACGTGTTTTCAGTAGAGATCTTCAGGCTAGCCTAACCCTGGCTTTGGGGCTAATTTGTCCAATATTAGGTATCATACTGGAAATCAATTTTCACTACCTTCCTACTCCCCTGCTGGACCCCTATTAAACATATGAGAGATGTTAGGGTATTAAACATCTTTATCCAGTTTAGCACTTACAGCTTGAGCGCTGCCTGTTTATGTCTCTGACACAGCAAATAGTAACAACGAACATGGAATGAACCTGGAACGTGAAGACTGGCCTACTATGCTAAGCAAGACACATGCATGCGGTCGTACGAAATGGGCAAAACTGTCCCTTTGGTTAAATCTGTCAGCTAAGCAGCCGAATGATTAAAATAATGAAGGCCGTGGTGATTTGAGAATCCATGCACTAATGGAAGCATTGCTCATAAACACTAATGAGAAACAGGATGGTAATATCCCATAAAACGGCGGGTGACTGAGTTCAGCCATGTTGCCTAGTCAGCGTGTGCTGCTGCTTCATACTGGGGTCAGACCCTGACCCCTGAAACCAGGAGCTGCTGTTAACAGTTACACAGACATATCCCCTGTAATGGACCTTCCTGTGGCCCTTATGTAGTAGCTTCCTGTCTTTGGCAAAGCACATTAAACTAAGTAAATTACCAGACCCTTGGTCTCAATAAACGTGCATGGCGCAATGCTGTTGAAAGGAGCCCTTCATGCCAAACCTAATATAAGCTAATATAAGAAAGATCTACCTTTTTGAAATATTTCCATCACAGTGGGAATCTCTACGAGGCAAGTTCCTTGGTTAAAGTTTAAGCGTCTGGTTATATGGGTTACAATGCCATCATTTTGCAGTATTTTAAATATAAAGCCTACTAAATGGTTCCTTGGTATTTTTTCAAATGACAGTTACTTTTTCAGACCAGACCACTGATTTCAGAAACTGGCACCATTTAAGTGCAATATCATAACGAAAACATGATTCACGCGGTTATGTGTGAAAACAATCAGGGATTGCTATGTCGCCTGACATTTTTATTGGTCTGTTATAGCACACATGGTTAAATTTGACTGAAACCTGAGCAAGCTTTATTTCCATTTTTTCTAAATGACTTTGGAGACAAGACATTTCTCTTTTTTTATTTGGCACATTTTTTCCCCTTTCACTGAACCTTTGTGCATTTAACTCATAAGAGGTAAAACTGAGTAATTAAATCATGCTTATCTCACATCTTCTGTTATCCACCCCAACTGCGCAAAAAACAAGAAGACTAGGACTTTGACAGGAACACCCGGAAGCGATTCAAGAGCCAGGGCCAGCATTTTGACTAGAAGTCCCTGGGATTTGTATTTTAACCATTTAGTTTGTGTCAGGGAAGAACCCCTGGCGATGGAGAGAGACAGTACTGATCATAATCAGAAGTCTGAGAGAAAAAGGCCAGAGGTCAACAGTCAAAGAGTCGCCCCTGGCTAGGGAGATGCGGGCTGGCGGGTCTTTGAACTTCCTGAACGGACGTTGCAGTGATAAAAAGAAAAACTGTACAGCTCAATCTCTCATTATTGTTGTGTTCCTATTCTTTTAGAGATTTTGCTCTGATAAGAGAAAGGTTGGGTGAATAATTTTGTCCACAAGCTCCATTCATTTATATTTGGAGAAAAAATACTTTTTTTGGTATAGTCTGGCAAAAGGGAAGTGGTAAAAAAAAGAGCGGGAATAGACTCGTCCTGGAAGGGTGTCCGTGCGGAGTTGGGCACATTGGGCAGGAATGCTGCTGGTCCGCGTTTTCAGGGGGAAATCGCCCAAGGTGTGGGTGCGGCGTGAGGCAGAGAGGATCACACTGACTTCCCCCTCAGGTTTCTAGCCGTCACAGTTATACAGCCCAAGCACCTGTTATCTTACAAACATACAAATCTCTTGTACACCATATTCTTACATACAGTGATACCTGTACCCACGAGCGTAACTGGTTTGAAGACACAGCTCGTGGGTACAATTTTCTCGTGGGTACAAACAATTTTTCCCATAAAGAATAATGGGAAAAAGATGAATTGGTTTTCCGGCCCCAAAATACCCCCATACAAAACATTTATAGGCAAAATAATTGAGCTTTTAGTGACAATATAAGTAGTATTGATTGAGAATATCATATTTTTCGGCATATTAGACACACTTTCATCTTTAAATGCATAAAAATACTGCGTACACGAAAGAGACCAAGTCCCGTAGGCTAGGCTGCTCGGCGTAGCCTATAGCGAGCATAAAAATTGTTGCTAACAATAAAAAATTGAAAAACAATCCTAAATATTACAGTAAATTGTGTTACTAATAAAAATGTAGAAAAAAGGCTAATTATCAGTGCTATCTCAAATTTACGAAAAATTGCTTACGATACGGCAATCAGTTAGCCTCTGCGGGAAGGATACGTACCTCTTTCCCGTATTGTAACGCACATCTGTACGTACGTATCTTACATTAAGGACTTTTACCTCTAGGAAGCATTTTTTATATATATATATATATATATATATATATATATATATATATATATATATATATATATATATATATATATATATATA